GAACCTGGGGAGAACAGACAGTTCTTTCCCAGAGCACCTGAACCCATCAAATTTTTGCTTGGACACCTGGTGGTTTCTCTCATCGAGAACACTCTTCTCTTCCCCCCATGTCAAAATTCTGCCATGTCTTCAAGGCGCAGCTCCATTCCCACCTCCTCCGTGAACAGCAGCTCGCATTTGATGAGCATTTACTACCAGCTGGGTACTGTGCTGGGACCTTCACTACCTTATCACATTTAATTCTTGTATCTCTGCACGATTCATATTAATATCCCCATTTTACAGGCTGGGGAACTACAGCTCCTCGGCTAGTAAGTGAGAGAGCCAAAGTTTGAGTGCAGGTTTGTCTGACCTCAAAGGTAAGCAGCGTCTCTGATGCCCTGTCACCTCCCTGACTCCAACAGCCACACTGACGGACTGTTTCTTCCTTTGAAATTTTACTGTCCAGGATCTGAAGACTTAATTAGATGATGTGTTGTATTATGCCCAAAGGGTTTCACATGTTTCTGTCTCATCTCCCCTAACTGAAAGCATGAACCACATTTCTTTATCCCTCACAAGGACATAGTAGGTCTAAAATGCATGCTGACTGAGCCCTTCTAGCAGAGTATTCTAGAGAGCCTTGTGCAAGTAGGTAAAAGAGCATCCCAGTTCTTATTTTTCCACCAGGGAGGGAGTTCAGTACCATACATAGGAGATGAGCTTCCATGCCAAACAAACATAGGTTTGAAGTCTAGCTTTGTAACTCATCTGTTCTACAGTCTTAAACAAATAACATCCTCTCTGGCTCTGTTTCTTTATCTGCAAAACCAGTATCCTAACAGTAGCTCTTCATGTAGGGTTAACCCCTATGAAAATTAAATGAGATGATATATATATAAGGCACAGAGTAGGGTGTCTAGCATATACAACAATAAGCACTCTATAATGATAACTATTTTTCCTGGCTTGCCCCCAAGACATAATAAAAGGAGCATGGCTGAAGACTTCTCTAGCTGGCTGGCACAATCTGACCAATGCCCCCAGTCAGAAAAGCCGCAGAAGTGCCTACTCGAGCATCCTGGCTCCCAGAGCCATACCCAGTGGCCACGAGGACCAGGCCATAAGCATCTGGTATCTACCCTTGCAGCTGGGCTTCAGCCCTAACTGGGCATTTTGAGTAAATGCTCAAAACTTTAACATCAACCTGCTCTAGTCAAAGCTGGGGTTTATCCAAAGAGTCTGGTGCGATCACTCTAGGTCCTACTGTCCACTGTGACCTCTCAGCCAGGCTTCTCCAATGACAGGAGCCCATCTGACCTCTGCTATTTTGTACTCTGCATCATATCTGTTATCTTGTGCTGATTTAATTTATCATTTCTGTATCTCCTGCTTGACTTATATGCCCAGCACCTAGCACAGTTCCTGGGATATACCCAAAGGTTCAGGACACACGAATGAAATGTACTGTATTGGGAGTGTGGAGAAGAGGAGGGGTCCTCAGAAGATGAGGCTGGGGGTCTCTGCCTTCAGGCTCTTTCGCAGTTCAGCTAGGGGTGTCCGTGGTGACCTCTGCTCAAGCGTATGCCTTCCAAGGATCACCTCTGCTCACCATTAACCCACCTGGACTTCCCTGATGACTCGCACCTGACTCTGACCTCCCCAGAACTCCAAGACCCTTCCACCCACATCAGAGCTCGCGATACTCCCATTCACCTTGTTTCTGAGCACCTACCTGTGCATGACTTGCTATTTCCCCATCAGACAGGAGCTTCCCGAAGGCAGACACTGGGCCTCTTTCCTCTGACTCACTGACATGCTAAGCATACCCTGACCACACTCTGCCCCTCATACAAACGCTTAGAAAATAGGAATGGGTGAATGGAATAGCCTCGGTCTTGTCCCAGAGTCCCCTATGGGTGCTCCCTTCAGGCTGAGGCATCCCCCAGGAGGATGCAGCTACACAAAGAACACCCCCTTTCTTCCCCCTAACATCTCTCATCTCACCTCCTCCCCCACCCTTTTCCTCACAGTCCACTTCAGAGCCAGCTCTGACCCTACCACTCAGGGAACCCAGCCCTCCTCTCAGCTGTGGGGAAGAGGGGGCTGTCCGCCCCTGTCCGGATATTCTCACTCGGGCTTATCTAAGTTACTTGTCTGATTACTTATCTCTCTTTTCCATTACACCGGGAGCTCTGAGAGATCAAACCCCGTCTAGCTTTTTTGCCTCTAGGATCCCAGCACCCAGCAGAGCAGACACTGTAGGGTTTAATTAGTATTTGTTAAAGGAATAAGTATGTAACCAGCTTAAAGTTCCTCTCTCTTCCTTCTCCCCTCCTCCCAGAGGCCAAACAGACAGAGGACTGGGTTTCTCTGCCTCTCCCCTTCTGCTTTTCTAAGAATTTCTGTTTCTAAAGACTAAGTGATGATCCTCCCGCCCTGGCTCTCGGATGGTCTTAGAAGAGGGAGGTGACAGGGGAAGGAAACAAGCCGCCACCCCAGGGCGACGGGAGCCTTGGAAGCCTGCCCCTCCGACACTGCAGGAGCTGGACCCTATTCTGTGCCTCCTCCCCCTCCGATAGCCAAAGCCAGAACCCACCCCCCAGATATCAACCATCTCTTCGGTGTGTCCCTGAAAGAGCCAGCCCTGCGAGCCAGCCTGTGGGCCCACAGGGAGCTCTCTGGAGAGCCGGCTCCTCTAGTGTGCTTCCGTGTGTCTCCGCGTAGCCTTCCTGAGGCCAAACAAAGCATGTGGGTGGAGAGTCATCTCACAAAACTAGGAAATGTGTACATTGTTATCAGAATCCCCCACTTAACCTGAGCCCCAATCTGCATTTCACTGGCAGAACCTTAATCCAATCAGCTCCCGAGGATGGCTCCAGGTGATGCCTCCTCCTGGACCAGGAAATGCCAGGGGAAGCTTCCTGCCCCACCCCCATTCAGATGGGAGGGGTGCAGAAGGGCAACAAAGCAGAGGGCAGCTGGTCCCCCAGCCGAATGACCCCCTCACCAGGCACGGCCTGAGTCCCGTTTGGAGTTGCGGCACTTGAGCGGGAGTCCGACCACTCAGATTTGTGAAGTGAGGGAGCCTTGCGGAGAAGGGACAGCAATTTGATCTTAACCTCCAATTTAAGCCTCAGGGTTTTAACTAAGGTCCTTAAAACAGGAATTGGGCTATTTCACGGGGCCAAGACAATTTGTGGGGATGGCTGTAAGTGCCCCTTTCCTCATTTGTGTTATTCTCATTCCATCTCTCTCTCTCTGCACACACACTCACACACACACACCCTTCAGCTGAATTCAAAGACAAGAGGGAGAAATGACTCTCTCAGAAGTGCCAGCTCAGTCAAAACAAAAGGTAGGAAGCACTAGATGTGTAGCAGACCCCCCACCTCCAACTCATCTCCTTCAATTCTTCCCGCAAAGCAATTCCACCAGATCCACTCGTCCCCAGACCAGGGGGAGGACAGGTTTCCACCCTCCTTCTTCTTCCTGCCCCTCACTCCCACAGTGGTATGGTCCCTCTCCCCAGGGGAGCCCTCTTTCCACACATAGTTTCCCTGGGCTTCTCTCACTTAAGTCTCAAGTTTGGTGGGTTCCGAACTTGCCAGTCTCTGGCCTCATTCAGACAATTCCACTCCTGCCCTGCAAGTCTGCCCTTCCTGGAGATTTGATTAAGGCCCAGCAGGGCTCACTACAGTTCCACGGGCAGAGAAGACACCAGGCCCGCATCCCAGGGAGACGGACAGGCAGAAAAGAGGCCCTGTCATCCGCTCCTCCAGTCTGAGGGAGAAGGCATCTCTGCAAACACACACACACACACGCCCCTGCCACACACCCAGAAGGAATCAGGGCCCGAACCTGGCTCGGGCCCGGCAGGAGAGGGGCTGCCGTGGGGACCAGAGTCTAGGTGATTCAGCATCTGCCCACTCTCAGCCCAGCCCATTGGCCACACTCGCGACAGCTCTTAATGCCAAAGTGCTGACTTGGAAGCTGAGGAAGAATCCTTTCTAAAATCCAAAATTCTCCAGACCTCCAGCAGGGCTCCTTATCCAGGCCTCTGCACCCCAGGGCTTGAAACAACACCGGGAAGAGGTCACTCAGCCATCCCTCAGACCCCAGCTCTTCCCCATCCCAGCTTCCCCAGCTTAGCACCCCCTCCCCCAGTCCCTCTAGGAAACAAAACTCAACAGCTAAGGGAAGAGGAACAGAAGGGAGGCCTACCAACCCCAAGCACCCTGTGCCCCCAAACCATGAACAGGATCAAACACGTAGAAAGCGGTTATAAGCGGCAACAGCGAGTACCGGCGGCGGCGGCCTGCAGGGCCGGAGGTGCTCAGTACAAGCCCCGTGGCTACTGGCCTCACCAGGAAGGGCAGGTGGGGCAGGTGATGGAGGGCAGGCCAGATAACAGCCAAGGCGGGGAAGATGGGGTTCTTGAGAGGGACTCTGAGGCATCTGGGAAGGAGCTGGGACGGGACAGGGTGTGCAGGAGGGACCTGGAGAGGACAGTGAGGGAGCTGATGGAGAGACAGGCACAGAGTGACCGCGGGGGGGGGCGGCGGCGGGGGGGATGAGGTCGGGAGGAGAGCAGGGGAGGGCAGGGAGGGGGCTGATGATGTGCAGGGTAGGAAAAATAGAAGGGATGGGTGATACAAAGTGGATGTGGAAGTAAACGGAGGTATCGGGGCAGGGCTCGTGGATTCAGGGGCAGAAGGAAAGGGGAAAGAGGGTGAGGGTGAGGGAAGGGGGAAGGGATGCAGCCAATGAGATAGAAAGGGTGTGGGGTGTGTAGGGGGGTCGGGAGCTGGATGGGAATGGGGCGCACACATGCACAGAACAGAATGGATTCAGAGCAGGTGACGGTGTGGAGAGAAAGGTCGGGACGTGGACGGAGGGGGGATGGGGACAGGTCCGGGGACGGAAAGGGGAGGGCGGGAAAAAGAGGGTAGTCGCTAACTAGGCTTCCATGATCCCCTAATGCCACCACCTCTATCTTTCCAGAGTCCGAGCTCACCTACCTCCAAGGGCTCGGCTCCGACCCTGGGCGCAGTCCGTGCTGTCGGCTGCCGGCGCGGCCACTACCACGGCGTCCCCTGCAGCGCCTCTCGCCGCCAGCCGCCGCATTAGGGCAGAGACCAGCCGGCGCGCGTTCCCGAGCAGCGGCGCGCCCCCAGCACCTTGCGTGCGCGCCCCCGCGCCACTCCCTTCGCGATTTGAGCGGGGACCCGGACGCAGCCGGAGGAGGGAGGGATGCTCCAGCGCGGCCCCGCCCGGCGCCTCGGGTACGGTTCGCAGGTCCTGGACCGGAAAAGGACCCATCTTTCTATTTTCACCAACCCACAGCCTCTCTGCGACCGGCTGCGTCCGTTTCCGTTCGCTGAGCGCCTACTACGTGCCAAGCACTCAGGAGGAAATAACGCCGAAGCCCCAGTGTATCAAGAGCTTGTCCTGTGTGTGCTCCACCATCAGACTGTGACTTCTTGGGGGCAGAAATTTGTCTTCTGAGGGAGACCTGCCTGTGGTAGACTCTCCAGGAACGTTTGTTGAATAGTTGTTGGATCCCAATTGGGGATATATGAGAGGTTGTGACACCTGCTGGGGGAAGAGTGGCTTTTAAAAATGGGAGGTGGCCTCAGCCCTCAGAGGGTCAGGCCTTGTCCCGTACTTGAGTTGGTTGGAAGAAACCAGGGCCTGAGAGACAGGAGATCCAAGTGCCATCCCTGGCTGGGTGACTAACATCTCACACGGGCAAGACACTCCTCTGTGAGCCTCAGCTTCCTGAGCTGAGCAATAAAGAATTGATTGGATTATCCCTTCTGGTCCCTTCTGGTCCCTTCTAGTTCAGACGGGGAGAATGAGCTAGGACCTGGCTTCTGTGCACTGGCCAAGGCCTGAGCACACTTTTGACCTGAATCAGTGAAAAGATCTGGATTGGAGTAGAATCTTAGGCTTGGAAGGGCACTTGGAAGTCCAGCTCCCTATCCCAAACCACAGTTTGCTCAGCGGCCTCCCTCTGAGGTCCCATTTCAAGGCCGCCTTCTCTGCTCACACAGCTCTGCCCTGCCTGACATCACCTTCGCTGAGCTGTACGCACCTGCCTGCGTCTCTGTCTCTACTCCAGCCTGTGAGCTCTCCCCAGTCCTTGAACATAGTATGTGCTTAACAAATACTGACAAAGTGCTCCACTCTTCAGTTAAGTTCCTTGAGATCAACGATTGTAACTATTGGGCAAAGACTGTGCCACAGGAAAGAGGAAAGGTGGCTATGGCAGATCCCAAAATGTAGTTACCCATAGGTGCCCAGGACTCTGCGCGAAAGTTGTACAGACCGGGTCCCTGTCTGTACAATTTGATTTCACTCAGAATCTTGTTCCAGCATCGTTCTGGCAGCTCAGCTGCACACAGCCCTGTGCCTGTAACAGCACACTGTGAACACAATAGCGCGCCCTCCAGGAGCCAGTCCTGACTGCGAGGCCCCGAGATGACCTCTCATCAGCCAGTCCTGGCACGGCTGGAGGTGTCTGCAGAGAGAGAGGATGGACTGTAAAGGACCAGAAAATTCTCTGAAGGGGAAAATCTAGAAACTGGGGAGCCTTGTCCAGATGGCACCACTGGCCTCGGCCAGTCCCAGGCACCGGGGCGGGGGAGAGGGGACACTTAAAAAACTTAGAGGAGGGTGCATCAAGGCACTAGGGCCCCTCAGGCCCGGACCCATTACTTTCCCCTTAGTTTCCTAACTGGAAGCGTGCAGCTATAGCTGGCTCCGTGGGATGTATGGAAGTATAGAAGTGCTTGGTTTTTATTAAGAAAATAACTGGCCATTGGTTTTCTTGTATATATCATTCACTTCCTTTTAAGAGCACTAGGAGGTAGCTATTTTATAGGCAGCATTGCTAAGGTTCTGTGCCACCAGCTCTAGAGGCAGCCTGCTGAGGTTCAAATCCCACCTCCACCACATCAGTCTGGGAGAACTTGGGGACTTTATTTACTTCCTTTCCGATTATTTATTTATTTTTTTAAAAAGTACCATTAAAGCTTTATAAGTATGTAGTTGAATCAGAGTGACATCTTTCTATAAGACTTCTCATAAAATACATTTCCCTCATGCTTTCCCCTGTCTAGAAGTTACCACTTTTGGGCTGTTTCTTTGGTTATTTGCCTTCATATTTCTAAATAACATGACATATTGCTACTTCTGGCTTCTGGTTTAGGCATTATTTTTTGATTTCACCCCCATGAAAGACTCTTTCCCCCCTGCACGTCTTCTTTGGAGAAATGTCTTTTCATAGTCTCTGCCCATTTTTTTAAGAGCTAAGAAAATGGAGGTCTAGAAAGATACAAGATTACACAGTGATCGGATGGTTAAAACTGAACTGGGACTCAAGTGTAAAGAAATTAAACCTGGGCCTTAGGGGAATGCAGAGCTTCCAGGCACCTGGAGGGGAGAGGCAGGACTGTCCCCAGCTGCTGGCCTGTCCTGATCGGGGGAGGGCACCACCTGCTGGTGATGGACTCGGAATGAAGTGGCTTTGACCTGTGCAGGCTGGTCTACAAGCTTGTCAGGAAAGGACTTACTCAGTGCCAAGGGCACAGAGTGGTCGTTTTTTCTTTCCAGACATTGGTCGGACCGTCCTGCTTCCCTTTCCTCTCTAGTCTGCATCTTTAGTTCTGGCTGAAACCCCAGGCCACAAGGTCTCTGCTGACCCTGGACCTGAAACCTCACTCACTGTGTCCCTTTGTCATGGCACATGGCAAGTCACTGGTGATTTTTACTTTCTCTAGCATCTCATAGCTCCTAACCAAATTTCACAAGCCCTGCCTGCCTTGTCCTGTGCTCAGGCCAAGAGAAAGCCCCCAGGCACTGAGTCTTGGGTGTTTGCAGAGGACGCATGGCATGTACAGGGATGGCGAAAGCTGGGGAACAGGGCCGGGCCCCCTGCATCTGTTACACCTTCCAAGCTGCCCTCCTCCACATGGGGCCAGAAGGTGCAGGGAAACAGGCAGTTGCATACATTTTTGGTGTATCCTTTTGAGAGAGCAATTTTGAAATACCGTCAAGACTTGGAATGTACCCTTTGACCTGTCAACGTCTCCTCTAAGAATCCAGCCTGCATAAACACTAGCACAAGCCACTCACAAAAATGTGTGCCTACAAGGATGTTTGGCATGGCCCATCTAGAGGACAATGACCAAAAATGTGATAATCTGCGCAAAGCCGAAGTATGGAAGTGCTTGGTTTTTAAAACCAAACAGAGGAATGAACAATACCCTTCCCTGGTTCGGAATCATGGCATTTAGAAAACCTTTGTCGAAGAGCTTCTTCTTTCAAATACATTTGTACAAATAGTCTTGAGAGTGATTGCTCACAGCTAACCACAAAAGCATCCATATTATCATAATCAAATGGCTAAGACGTATTAAACCATCTCTTTTCCTGAAACCTCTCGTTCACTTTATCTTTGTGGTGTACAATACTCCTATTTTAAGCCTCAGCTTAACACCTCCTGTGTAAAAACCTCTCCCTCAGCCAGACCCAGCCTCTCATTTGGGTAGCTGTGCACACGGTAAATGCCTCCCTCAGCACTTAGCCACTCTGAGTTTCTTTATAGGCGTGTCTCCCCAACTCAACTGGAACTTTCCCGAGAGCAGGGAATCCTGCATCCACAGAGCGTGGCACAGCGTGCTGCTCACAGCTGAACCTCCATAAATGTTTGTCGAAGAAGAGAATGGGTGTGTGAATGAAAGCAGAGCTGTTAGGAACGTAGACTGTACTGTCTGATGGCGGTAGCCACTGGCCTCACGTGGCTATGTAAATTAACGAAAGTTACAAATGCAGTTCTTCAGTTACACCAGCCACATTGCAAGAGGGTAACACAGACTGCAGACCATGTCCATCACGTCCATCACGGCTGAAAGGGCTATTGACCGGCACTGAACTGCATCATGACCAGTGCCACGGGGAGCTGTGCAAGGCCCGACATCCCAACAGTCCAGAGCGGGCCGTGTGAGCGCAGGGCCTCCCTCTGTGTGCTGCTGTGCTAGCTGCTGGCCGGAGAATTGTACGGCGCCTGCAGTCTGAGACAGGCAGGAGGACACCTGAAAGCACACTGTAAAGGATATCCCCTTGATGAATAAATGCAGGCCAAGTGTACAAAAAAAATGAACAGGCAAGAGGAAGGAAATAAAAAGGGCTTTGGGTATCCATGTAGCCTGAAAAGTGACGCTTCACTTTTTATGTTTGAAATGGACGTGACTTTGCCAGAATTATTTCTTGGAGAAATAAACATATCAGACAGGAATAATCATGCTGGCTATTGAAATACAGCCAAAGAAAATATTTGTCTTCTTGTAGCAGCCACAGGAGATCTCTAACGTGGCAGCCACTGGTTTTCTGGGTAAGAGTTCCTGCTGTTTTCCATAAACTATTGAAATGTCCTCTCCATTGCCGCATTTCAGCCTCCAGATTATCTTTCTGACACTGCCTCTTGCACATAGCAAACATAATAAATATTTTCTGACTATGTGTATAGGTTTTCTATCAGGAAAATATACCTTGCTAGCCCTTCCCATTTCTGCCAAAGGAACCAGACTGGCGAAGGCCTCCCTCTGCACTGGCCCAGGCCCACCAGGCTGGGGCAGCAGAGGAGGCGTCGCTTGCACTTTGCACCAATGCAGGGGCCCTGTGCTCCAGACCCCGGGCTCCTCTGTTTCTGCCTCGGCCCCCCCCCACGCCCGCCTCTCCCTTCTCTCCCCTTCCCCTGTGATGGCCAAGATTAGCGTGAGCTGGGAGCGGGAGGTAGCAGCTGAGAATGCAGCCTGTGGGCCTGCCTACCCCCAATTAGTTTATCTTATTAATGCAAATTTATTAGCATAGAACCCCTGGGAGATAAGCAGGAGGAGGTATCTGTAAGCTTTACCCCGGAGGTGCCTCTCTTGTCTCCCCCTCCTCTGAGTGGGAGGACCCAGGAGAGCAGATCTGACCTGGCGGATGGGACGGTGAGCACTTCTTTTTTTTTTTTTTTTTTTAATTGATTCTATAGAGATGGGAAGGGAGAGGATCATCAATGAGAGAGAAACATCCATCGGTTGCCTCTTGCACATGCCCCAACTGAACCC